CTAGTAATAATAATAATTTTTAATTTTAATAATAATAATTTCTCCTTTATTTTCCTTGCCGTTTTCAGAGTTTTAGCTGAATTGGCTGCAGAATTTGTTCGTGTACAGATACCGCTTACACAGCGTTCGGTTGTCAAATCATGTTTACATCGTAAAGCTGAGGTGCGTGAATTGCTTCGAATTCGAATATACTTGCTAAAAATGAAACTACGGGGAGAAAAATAAGCATGATACGAGGTAAAACAGCTGTGGAAAACAGTTTTTTGTATGTTTTAGTTAGACGCTGTGTTTCTTTTTTTTGCTTGCAAAGCATCCGGTAACTTCTGCTCCTTGCTGGTGCTGAGTTTTCCACATCACGTTACTTCGTGTAAACGTTCAGATGCTTTACTACAGTTCGATAACGGCATTTCTATTGTGAACTGAGCGTAGCCGTTTTTTGCAAAATGGGTATGGGCCCCTTTCTTGTCTGCTTCTTCTAAGGCAATACGTACTTTTTTGGTAGCTTCTTTGCAGGTTTTTCGTGGGATTTTCTTCGGTACTTCAGTGATGGCATTTCTATTGCCCTTTTAACATTGCGTGACATCAATCCGCTTTACTGGGAGATAATTAGGAGTGTTTAATATAGTGAATTTTTTTGCTCTTTTAAAAGGATATATATAATTTATTAATCTGACTTGTTATCTTACTACTATGCGAGGTTTCGCATGCATTTTCAGGATGTTATCAGAATTATCAATTTAATTTTGTGTGATAAGGACGCTACGCCATCACTAAGGAATGCTGCTGTTGAGTGTCTTGAACAATGGCTACGCTTGCCAGGCATCGATTTGGCTCAGTGGCAGCCGGCACTTTTACCATTTCTCGGTAATCCTAGCGACAGGTAATAACGATTATAACGCTGAAAATGTGAAGTTGTGAATGGAACTGTTATAAGATTGAAAGGATGCAATGTTGCGGATGTTTTGCGAAATCCAGGGCTCATTGTTTTAGTTCCTTGTTACAAGAAAGAAAGCAGGAAATACTGAGTTAGCGTACTGTGACACGAGCGGACACGATATTTCGGGAAGTACTATTCTAGAATTTTAAAGGAAAAAAAGTGTCAGCAATTGGTATTGAATAAATCGCAATTTTATTCCGTTAGTAATTTACTTTTCGAAGCGTAAATGCCTCAACTTATTGTTAGAAACTGAAAAAGGATAGAGGGTAACGAAGGGGTTCTGGAGGGAAAATACACCATTATTTGTAAAACTGTGTTATAGGGAAGTTTTCCAGAAATGAATGTTGAAGTAAGCATGTGAACAGGAATCTCATTTGAGTAGTGAACTTTTTATATAGAAAGAGTAGAATTATAACTGGAAAGAAATGTTTCTGTCCATGAAGTCATGTGTTGCAAAACGAAGACGTTAACAGCAAGGAAATGAAGTTGATGGCTAATTCCCTTAATCCTCTGACTCGAATTCACCCCTCCCTCTGGAATATATAATGATTTGATTAGAAATGAAACGGTAGTTGTTTTCCTATACCAAATACTTGTGCGGCGGCAGCTTGGAACTACTGCCTGATCTATCTCCCGCGCTGGGTCTCGGTTGATTTTTGTTTTTGGGTACGTTTTTGTTTTAATTTTTTTTTTTGTTTTTAATAAACCATTATCTACTGGTTTGAGAGAGTACTCCCCGCAGCCCCACAGAAGCACCCCGCTACAGCCACTCAGGCCTCCGCGTGTTACACGTGTGCGTTTCTTTCTAGCACCATAAGGGCCTTGTTTGGTATAACTAAAATGCTTTAATGTGTTTTAAATTAAGGAAATTTAAAGTGAAAGTGAAGATAGGCTGAGGCATTTTGCAAATTAGTAAGATTTTTAAGAAGTTAAGTGAAGAAGACAGATTAATACTCAGGATATTGAAGAAATTATTTGGGGTTATTAAAATTATTAACGGGATCTCAAATTATTACCGGATTCTTACCTTTTGCACAAGTTTTTCGTAATTTTCCACTTACTAATATTGAGTTTTTCGGCTACAGTTTGTAAAATTCGATTGCTGGCTATGCTGGTTCTGATTATCAGTTTAAAAAAGACTGTTTTTTGTTTGATTTAGAGCGGCTTTGGCTCGAATCCTGAATGTGGTTTCGGCGCATCCCGATCTTCCATTCATCGAAAATTTAGCTGTGGATCTGAACACTTTTTTGGCCAGTATCACTTGTTCTGTGAGTTCCTTCGTTCTCATTTTTCACTTTCCAGCTTGCTATTTATAAAAAAATAAGCAAATTGCAAGCAAAACTCTGAGATTTCCGCGCCAAATTTTTACTGTTTTTTTTTTATATCGGAGCAGCAGTTGACATTTTTGCGTGTTATTGTGCGTTTGCCATTTCATCACAGCGCTCATGCTTTGCTCTGTCAGTACAGTTGGAACTTCTCCAGGGTTTCGTAGCCGATATTACGTAATATTTCAAGCAGCAACAGCTGAAGATGATGAGTCTTTTGTCACCCCAGTTTCTTCTTCCGATGAGAATTGCTAAATTTATGGCGCATCCTACTTGCGGAAGTAGTATTTGATACTATGGAGTATGTGTGTAGTTGACATATTCGAATTTAGCACATCCCTTCCGCCACTTCTGTGTCCCCGTAATTAAGAGCAAAATTTATAAAATTACTTTTGTGCATATTTTTTTGGCTGTTCAGTTATTTCTTGGAGGAAATATGCCTGAAAAACAACCTTCGATCACCACAGGAGCAGTGGAAATAATTTATTGCGCTTTTTTGCTTTGTAAAGACACTGAAAGTTCTCGATAGTGTAATATAATAACCAAAATGGATCGAAAAGTCTGTAGATAATCGCGGAATCACTGCTGCATTACGACATTCGAAGTGCAAAGGCGATGAGGGAACTGGAACAAGATGAATGAAGGGAACATTCCATTGGGCAAATAATACACTTTTTTGGTACAATTGCAAAACAAGCCTTCGTACTGAGCTTCAGCTTTCGAGTTGAAACAGTACTCGAAGATTTGCCCTTATCGCTCGAAACAGTTACACAGTAGGTAGTTTTTTTCCAGAGAAGGTGCAAGAAGTTTTGTTCGCCAACCAGTTGTTTGCTTAAATAAGTAGTGTGTTTTGAACTGTTACAAATACAGACTTACCACCACCAGCGGTGAGAGCGTATTTCTGTGTGTGTGTTTGTGTGTGTGTGTTTGTGTGTGTGTGTTTGTGTGTGTGTGTTTGTGTGTGTG